CGAGAGAATGAGACGAATGCAGAATATCAGGTGTAGGATATTGTAGGATTTATTTGTTATAATATTATTATTATAATAATGTAATAATAATCAAAAATATAACATATAATACATAACATATTACACAGTAAGCAAGTTCTCAATTTGAAGAAATGAGATGGGTTGTTTATAGTAACTAAACTATGTATGGTAACTAAAAACCTCTCTGCGTGCACGAAATGCACGAACGCGTTCCGTCGAACTCTTTGAAACTTTCCTAATATTTTATTTCTGCAGATTTTCACAACATTGTTCGGCATTGATCCTATCGCGAATCAACATATCCTATTGCGAATCGTTTGAATAGAAAATAAAAAATAATGTTACAAAAGTGATCTATTGAGATTATGCTTGTCTAGTATGAATAGAAAGGATTAAGAAAGAAATATATTGATTGGAAGCTATTTAATGACTTACGATGATCGTTTCCACTATTTCTAACAGTGAACGCATTAGAGATATTATTCTGCATATTTAATAACGGCTTCTGGCGTGCACGAAATGCACGAACACATTCCGTTGAACTCTGGAATCTCCCTTATCGTGTTTTTCTGCTTAATTTCACAAATTTTTCTCTAGTTTGCGAATTTTTTATATTGTTAAACCAATATATAAAAAATAAAGTTTTCTGGCCAAGGCGAAAAGCTATGATGAGGAAAAAATGAGAGATAAAACATGCGATCGTACCTTATAGATGGTATAATAAAACATTATTTGTTCGTTAAAGAAAAGCTTCCCTTCCTAAGAAACAATAGTTTATATATTAGAAATATAATGTCTATACAAAGTATAGTAAGTACTATTACTACTTAGTACTAGTATACTAGTACATAAACTGTGCGTTATACTATACTTTTTTTTTTGTTTCGGCAAGGGAAAAATCTTTTAAAGACATCCCTCTCGGGCGTGTGGGATTTCCACCCACTAAAAAAACCCTGCTTCTTCACACTCCATCCCGGAAATACAGCTTGTAGCCACTACTGATCGTTCTTTTTTCATCTTCTTCCTCTCTTTTATTACCTGTACTATCAGTTCTTTCGCTTCATCCCATGATGACTTTCTGGCTAGCATTTCTGCTGTTAAATTGTCCACGGTTAGAATCTTGCCTATTTTTGCAAAGGTCGTCTGTCTCCTAGCTTCCCATCTTTTGCATTCAAAAATTGTGTGCTTTGCAGTGTCCGGTTTCCCGCAGTACATGCAATTATCGTTCGGTGACTTTCCAATTCTGTGCGTGAAGCTCCTGAAGCTCCTGAAGCTCTGATACCCAGTTAGGGCTTGTGTCATATGGTAGTTTACATAGCGGTGTCTACGTACTTTCAACGCGCTTATGTCTAGGATCAATCTTTTGGTCCACTGGTCGACGCTTGTGTTCGCCTCCCAATTCCTTTGCCACGATTTAACTGTTTCTTCTGCTATCGTTTTCCTCTTCTGCCTTGAGATTGCAGTTCCCTTTCTGTAGACTTTTGTTCTTTCAGTTGCCAGCAGATCCAGAGGTGGAATTCCTGCTATCACCTGCGCAGCTTTGGTAGACACTATCCTATACGCACATATTGCCCTGAGCAGTGTTTTCCTCTGTACTCTACCAAGCATGTCCTTATATTTTTTATATTTAAGAGCCCCGCTCCATATAGGTGCACCATATAGTATTATGGAGTGTATTACTCCACATAATACCAATCTTTTCTTTGTATACAGTCCCCCTATGTTGGGCATTAATTTCGTTAATGCGGCTGCTCTTTGTTCAGCCTTTGTCACTACTCTGTCGAAATGTTTCCCAAAAGATAGTCGGTCGTCAATCATTATACCGAGATATTTTACAGCTTTCCCAGGTATCACCTCGGTCCTGTCCAACCTGAAGTAAAGGTCTCTCCGTCTTCTGCCTTTTATGATAACAATTTCAGTCTTGTCTGGTACCAGATGTAAGCTGTGGTGTGTCATCCATGCCTCCACTCGTCTTAGGGACTCGTTCACTCTGTACGTGAGCTCCTCCTCGTCGCTCGCCGTTACCACGATCGCCAAGTCGTCGGCAAAACCGACTGATAGCGCACCCTCCATTAATGTGGAGCGCAGTACCTCGTCATACAGAATATTCCACAGTGTGGGTCCCAGGACCGAGCCTTGTGGAACTCCTGTCGTCACCTTTATTTCTGTGCCCTTCTGTATCTGAATCCTTGTGTTGTGGAAGTAGCTTTTAATTGTGTTTGTTAGGTACTGCGATATTCCCCGCTTATCCAGTTCTTTTGTATTAACCCTCCAGGATGCTGTATTGAAAGCATTTTTTACGTCAAGCGTTACCAACGCGCACCATTTCTCCTTGGCGTCCTCCTTTTTGCTAAGTATCGTCTCTATTGCCGAGATAGTAGACCGTCCCTTTCGAAATCCGTACTGGTGCTCTGCCAGTCCTCTCTTGTTCTCTATTTCTGTTTCCAGGCGTTTCCTTATCAGCCGCTCGTAGAGCTTGCTAAGTGTGTTGAGGAGGCAAAGAGGTCTGCACTTATTACACTCACCTCTCTGTTCTGCGATCTCCTCGTTCCACCAGTATGGGACTATCCTCTTCTTCCCTCTAGCCCCCTGAATCTTGCTGGCCTGTTGCGTTCGTACTATCTCTCGTGCGCACTCCTCTAGTGTCCAAGTTTTTGTATTTTCGTTACGCATCTCCACCCTCCATGCCAGTAGCGTTGTACGATCCGAAAGGATCGTACGGTAATTAGCGGTATTCGAAATTCGCGCGCATCCGCTTCCATCGATTAGGATTCTAGATCGATACTCATTGCGAGCATCGATCAACTACCAGTAACTATCGAAGCGCTTCTCTAGCTTCCCCCACCTCTCGCATCCCCACTTCTCACTCCTAGTGCGTACGCCTTGCTGGGCCAGTACAAAAATGACATTCTTTCATTCCATTACTGGACTCTTGTGAATATATATTTAAATCAAAGGAGTTAAGTTAAATTAGTTAAGGAACGTAAGCGAAGCTAGCGAAAGCAACTAATTACCAGAGGACTTTTAATTGAGGAATTTGGTCATAACATTTTAGTGCAATCCTGTAAGGTGCGAATTCCCGACTTCTGATTTACGAAGCAGCGAATAGACTATCATCACGCCGAGCAAACCGATTAGAGAACAACGAAATCGAGAAAGTCCGCCATCTTGCGAACATCTACACCGTTCAGACGAGACAGTACCACAAAGGATTTGGAAGCGAGGTAAGTAGTTTTAATTATCCGTGAGTACGCCTATGCGTACACACCTCTAGTTACTAATATATATCTCAAGGGAAATTGCGTCTTCGAACCCCGTAGAAGTTCGCAATTTCTTATATATCTATGCATTGCGCTCATTTTCTCTGTAAAATTTACATTTTAATATCGGAAAGACTTATAGAACTTTATTTCTAAATTTGAACGAATACATAATATATACTCGAACGTTATTATCCATCTCGGAATACGCTTTATCCTCGTACAAAAAACGATAACGTTTTCGGCGGCTTCACCGCCACGCCACCTTTCTTTAATTGAACGGTCGACAAGAACGAAGACGCCGTGATGTCAGCGCCGGACACCCCATCCATCGGTCTCTACCACTAACGATATACGTATACCCCCTCCAACGATCTAGCCTCAGGGCCGTACCACGTGATCGAGAACCCAACGCGCGGTAATTCATTCATATAAAGGGGATTTTTATATATTACCATAAATTGATTGAGTGGATTTCGAAGAGTAGAATAATTAATAACGGTCCGTAATGGCATTACAAAAACAGCTCGAACAGCTCGAACAAAAACGGTTAGTTTTAGAATCGGGTTTAACACACGTCGAAAATCTAATCCAAGAAGGAAATCTAAGTAAACAGGAAATAAGAAAGCGTTATGAACGACTTACTCAGCTAGTACAGATATACGAAACACTGTATGAAAAGTGCGTCACTACTATCAGCGAAGTAGGAGGAGTCGACAGTTTAAATCCGATTATAGAGAGATATTTCGCAGTCGGAGACAAAATTGATTCGGGCGATACGGCCACGGTTAATAATGCGAATGGTTCTCATAGAGACGACGGTGCTACAAATACCCGCGATCAGCAAATACGATTACGCCAAATCAAGAACCCGAAATTCGACGGAGACATCGGAAAGTGGATCCAATTCAAGGGGAGTTTCGTAACGCTGGTGGACGCGCGCACCGACATGTCGGATTTAGAAAAAAATATATACCTTCACGAATCTCTTACCGGTAGAGCGCTTCAGACGATCGCGACATGTGCACCGACCGGGCAGAATTATAAGAACGCGTGGGAAATTTTATTGAAAACTTTTGACCGGCAACGCATACTCCTGGCACGGGCCATTGACGCCTTCATAGACACTCCACGGCCGAAAAACATGTCAATAGAAGAGATGACACGGTTTGCGGGTGACTTGCGGGCCCATGCAGATACTATTACTTCTTTCAATATACCACACGCACTGATGGTCCGCCTTGGCGAACGCATTCTACCCTACGACCTTCGACAAGAATGGGACAAATATTTAGATGCTGATAATTATCCGACCATGAATCAGCTTTGCGACTTTGTGAACGAGTACACACTCCGTAGCGTCGCGTCGTCGAATATTCCATCGACATCGAGAAACGAGCCTCACGCAAAACGTAGACATACTGATACGATGACTTTACGGCCACGAAAGCGACAAGAGACACATATAATGCGTACGTTTCTTACTCGGACCTTAACTAATTGTATTCTTTGCAAACGAGATAAACATCTTTTATACCAATGCCCCCGATACCATGATCTGACGAAAGGCGATCATCATCTTGCGATGGCAAGACAGACTGGCGATGGTCGAACGTTATGGATTATGTAAAAATTGCTTATGGAAGCATCGAGACCCATGTAAGAGTTCACATTGTCAAATCTGCAGCCGATCCCATCATACGTCATTACATATAGACAATGACGAGCATGAGATCACAAAACAGGAGAGCCACACCCCCGCGAGGACGGAGACCGCGTCGTCATCTCAAACGAACTCATCACTACGCGACTAACACCGATCCTTCATGTCAATTCGCACGGTGTACCGAATTAATTCCTTATGAGCGCCATATACCGTGTTAGAAAAGGCGAAACGGGACATTTAAACAATTTCGGGCATCCTTAGATACGTGCATCGCTGCACACTTCATTGCCGGAAAGGTCACGAGAGAGATACGCTAACCATATTAGGTTCCCACTCACGCTATCAACGATACCAGAACTTGATCGATGAGCGTCATCGAGATAATCATTTAATCGCTAAACAATAAATATAGGCAGAACTTTTCGCTACTCATCGTCCCTAAGATAACGCGATCGAATTCAGTAAACAAATTAGAAGGCGAAATTCATTATGTCTAAAATGCGAGACGATACGAATCGGGAAAATACATGGTGCGTATATCCTTTCGTGAGGAAGGACACGATCACAGTCACCTACAAAGTATAGCCTTACGCCGATTCTACAATCTCTCGAAGAAGTTACACGCGAATACCTAACGCCGGAAGGAATATGAACGGATCATACGGGAATATATCGGTTTAAGACATATGTCGAATGTTAAAGACGAACGTACGGGAGGCTGTTATCTTTCCCATCACGCGGTCATTAAATCAGCCAGCTTGACAACAAAGGTATTGGTCGTATTCGACACTTCCGCGAAAATATGATCAGATGTATTTCTCGGCAACACTTTGTTAATAGAGCCTACAATTCGAGATACTGTAGTAAAACTCTTGTTACGATTCCGAACGTATCAGTACATACTGAACGCGGATATCGAGAAAATTTATCGACATACATTAATTCATTCAGACGATCGCCAATATCAACAGATATTTTAGTGACATAACGAAAGGATTCGCGCGTTCGAATTTAACACGGTGACACTCGGAATAACCTTAACACCTTTTCTTGCTATACGAACCATAAAACAACTCGCGAAAGATGAAAGCGCGAATTATTCGCTCGGAGCCGAAATACTAAACCGTGATCTATACGTTGATGACCTTATTACGGGAGCGGATAATATCGGAACCCTCGGAAGGATACGCGATCAAACCATCGAAATATTAAAACGAGGCGAGTTTAACATACGACAGTGGGCGTCTAATTTCCGACCGGTGCTCGAAAGGTTAGACATAAAGAACAATTAACATTAATTGATAATTTAACGATCGATAGACGCATAACACTCGATGACCCGATCGACGTGCAATTACACGGTTTCTGAGACGCGAGTCAATCTGGTTACGGCGGCTGCTTACATGTAAGATCGCGAGATAAAATCTGTACCACACGCGTACGTCTACTTTGCGCTAAAAATCGCGTGGCTCCTCTTAAGGACACCACCATACCACGTTTAGAATTATGCGGAGCATTGACACTCGCGCGATTATACAGAGAAGTCCGGACCGCCGACGGATTGAAACCCGACAAGATAACTTCTGGTCCGATTCGATGATTGTACTAGGTTGGCTGAAAAGAGACTCCAGTACGTTAAAAATATACTCGGTAAATCGCGTGTGCGAAATACAAAAAATCTGTGAAGGTATCACATGGCGATATGTGCGATCCGAAGACAACCGAGCGGACGCTTTATCTAGGAGACAGCTTCCGCGCGATTTCCTAAAGAACGATGCATGGTTCCACGGATCGCCCTGGCTCGAGCGACCGGAGGCCGAGTGGCTCATCCCGACCGAAAAGGAATTTCTCTAATTGCCAGACGTAAAGAGATTATCGGTATTAACGACGCGAATTGAATCAGTAGACATTTTTCAGCGATTCTCTAGTTACACACGATTATTAAAAATTGTAGCTCGATGCCGGAGATGGCTTAAGACTAACCCATACAGGGGAGAAGTGTCGACCGCGGAAATAACAGAAACGGAAAGACGCGTTTTAAAAATCGTGCAAGACGAACAATTTCACGCTGAAAGAGAAAGGTTGAAGACAGCGGGAGGAGTCAAGAGCACAAGGCTCGCCGCGTTAAATCCGATCCTTAACGAAGAAGGTTTAATTCGAGTGGGGGGTCGACTTCGAAACGCAAATTTAAGTTTCCACGAGAAATGTCCGATATTATTGCCCTCACACCACCACGTCACCGATCTCATTATCCGAAAACTCCATGAACAAAACTTTCACGCCGGTATACAGACTATCCTCTATGCCCTTCGACAACGTTTTTGGCTCCTCGACGGCAAGAATCAGGTGCGAAGAATCGTACGTCATTGCGTACGTTGCATCCGATTCCGTGCATCCGGCATCCAGTATAAAACGGGAAATTTACCAAGCTCGCGAGTGCAGGAAGCCACTGCATTCTCCCACGTCGGAGTAGATTTCTTCGGTCCAATCTACGCGAAAGAAAAGAAGTACCGTAATAAAGGTCGCGTTAAAATATACGGGTGCATCTTCCTCTGCATGACTATCAAGGCTGTACACATCGAATTAGTCAGCGATCTGACTACAGATGTCTTTTTGGCCGCTTTCCGGCGGTTTGTGAGTCGAAAAACTATTCCAACTCACGTCTATTCTGATAATGGAACTAACTTCGTCAGGGCTAATAACCAATTAAAGAAACTGTATGCCTTGATCGAGTCGGACGAGAATAAGACGAAGGTCCATGATTTCGCGGTAGATTGTAAAATCTCATGACATTTCTATCATCCCCTATTACCTCATTTCAGAGGTTTGAGGGAAGCTGCAGTCATATCTTTCAAATATTATTTTAGGCGAAACGTGGGCGAACTGCTTTTCGCATACGAAGAAGTGAACCACATTCGCTATCGAAATCGAAGCTATTTTAAATTCACGCCCGTTATGCCTTATTTCGTCAGATTTAAATGACTCAACCGTACTAACGCCTGCACATTTCTTTTAGATTAAAGGAACGTTTACGACATTGTCGAAGGAAAATTATATTAAGACTCCAGCCAATCGATTGTCTTCATGGAAACACATTACAAAGAAACGCTAGAAATGGACCCAATCCCAGCATAAAATCAAAGGCATACCACCGTCATTCTCATTGACAAATCAACTATACATGAGATAGCCGTGAAAACTGCTCACGGAGTCGTCAAAAAAAGTGTGACAACTATTTGCCCACTATCAATACGAGTATTCACCGTGAAGACGGTTCACGGAGTTGTCAAGCGAAATGCGATAACTATTTGTCCATTGTTAAACCACCATTAATTTTCTTGCGTTGTATCTTTTATAATTAATTTTCTTGTACGTACAAAACAGATAGATCGCCTGGCCAGCGATTCACTGAATAAAGTAAGCAGCTCGTGCTGCTAAGGATATATCGAAAAGGTTAAACAGCTCGTGCTGCAAGCGATATATAATATATGTTAAGCGACTCGTGTCACAAATATTGTAAAATTGATTGTAACAAGCGCACAACACAACACATGTATTATGAATGTCATTGATCGTTACACTCTCAACGGGGGGAGTATGTACGATCCGAAAGGATCGTACGGTAATTAGCGGTATTCGAAATTCGCGCGCGTCCACTTCCATCGATTAGGATTCTAGATCGATACTCATTGCGAGCATCGATCAACTACCAGTAACTATCGAAGCGCTTCTCTAGCTACCCCCACCTCTCGCATACCCACTTCTCACTCCTAGTGCGTACGACCTGCTGGGCCAGTACAAAAAGGACATTCTTTAATTCCATTACTGGACTCTTGTGAATATATATCTAAATCAAAGGAGTTAAGTTAAATTAGTTAAGGAACGTAAGCAAAGCTAGCGAAAGCAACTAATTACCAGAGGACTCTTAATTAAGGAATTTGGTCATAACAAGCGTCTTGAAGGCTTTCCCGTCAATTTCCAGTTTTGTTTTTTCCTTGTTTATCCTGTCGGTCTTCTTCCCTTTTCCCTCCACTTTAAAGTAGATGAAACGGTGGTCCAAGAAGTTAGGCAGACGAGGAAGACACTAAAGACAATGATAAATAGGTCAAAAAAACAGCACTGGCAGGCATTATGCGAGGACCTAGATAAAGACATTTGGGTGGTTGGTTACTAAATAGTAATCGGAAAGCTGACAAAGCAGAGGCCCTGAGAACTAACGCTGGAAAGAAAGGTGAAAATAGTAGAGGAGATGTTTCCCAAAAACCAAAGACGCGGCAATAGAAAGAAGAGTAAGCGGACAGGCGAAACTCTTCAGAAAAAGGAGAGGTAGAAAAAGCGGTCAAAAGTATGAAAATGGGAAAGACACCAGGGATAGACGGAATCCCGGTAGAAGCGATAAGAGCGGCAGTACAAGCAGCCCCAGAATGGATAATGGATGTAATGAATGGTCTGATACGTAAGCAGGAGTTCCTAAACAGCTGGAAAATTGCTAAAGTCATATTGATTAAAAAAGAGAAGACCGCCGGACAATCCGTCAGCTTACAGGCCTCTTTGCCTCCTCAACACACTTAGCAAGCTCTACGAGCGGCTGATAAGGAAACGCCTGGAAACAGAAATAGAGAACAAGAGAGGACTGGCAGAGCACCAGTACGGATTTCGAAAGGGACGGTCTACTATCTCGGCAATAGAGACGATACTTAGCAAAAAGGAGGACGCCAAGGAGAAATGGTGCGCGTTGGTAACGCTTGACGTAAAAAATGCTTTCAATACAGCATCCTGGAGGGTTAATACAAAAGAACTGGATAAGCGGGGAATATCGCAGTACCTAACAAACACAATTAAAAGCTACTTCCACAACACAAGGATTCAGATACAGAAGGGCACAGAAATAAAGGTGACGACAGGAGTTCCACAAGGCTCGGTCCTGGGACCCACACTGTGGAATATTCTGTATGACGAGGTACTGCGCTCCACATTAATGGAGGGTGCGCTATCAGTCGGTTTTGCCGACGACTTGGCGATCGTGGTAACGGCGAGCGACGAGGAGGAGCTCACGTACAGAGTGAACGAGTCCCTAAGACGAGTGGAGGCATGGATGACACACCACAGCTTACATCTGGTACCAGACAAGACTGAAATTGTTATCATAAAAGGCAGAAGACGGAGAGACCTTTACTTCAGGTTGGACAGGACCGAGGTGATACCTGGGAAAGCTGTAAAATATCTCGGTATAATGATTGACGACCGACTATCTTTTGGGAAACATTTCGACAGAGTAGTGACAAAGGCTGAACAAAGAGCAGCCGCATTAACGAAATTAATGCCCAACATAGGGGGACTGTATACAAAGAAAAGATTGGTATTATGTGGAGTAATACACTCCATAATACTATATGGTGCACCTATATGGAGCGGGGCTCTTAAATATAAAAAATATAAGGACATGCTTGGTAGAGTACAGAGGAAAACACTGCTCAGGGCAATATGTGCGTATAGGATAGTGTCTACCAAAGCTGCGCAGGTGATAGCAGGAATTCCACCTCTGGATCTGCTGGCAACTGAAAGAACAAAAGTCTACAGAAAGGGAACTGCAATCTCAAGGCAGAAGAGGAAAACGATAGCAGAAGAAACAGTTAAATCGTGGCAAAGGAATTGGGAGGCGAACACAAGCGTCGACCAGTGGACCAAAAGATTGATCCTAGACATAAGCGCGTTGAAAGTACGTAGACACCGCTATGTAAACTACCATATGACACAAGCCCTAACTGGGTATCAGAGCTTCAGGAGCTTCAGGAGCTTCACGCACAGAATTGGAAAGTCACCGAACGATAATTGCATGTACTGCGGGAAACCGGACACTGCAAAGCACACAATTTTTGAATGCAAAAGATGGGAAGCTAGGAGACAGACGACCTTTGCAAAAATAGGCAAGATTCTAACCGTGGACAATTTAACAGCAGAAATGCTAGCCAGAAAGTCATCATGGGATGAAGCGAAAGAACTGATAGTACAGGTAATAAAAGAGAGGAAGAAGATGAAAAAAGAACGATCAGTAGTGGCTACAAGCTGTATTTCCGGGATGGAGTGTGAAGAAGCAGGGTTTTTTTAGTGGGTGGAAATCCCACACGCCCGAGAGGGATGTCTTTAAAAGATTTTTCCCTTGCCGAAACAAAAAAAAAAGTATAGTATAACGCACAGTTTATGTACTAGTATACTAGTACTAAGTAGTAATAGTACTTACTATACTTTGTATAGACATTATATTTCTAATATATAAACTATTGTTTCTTAGGAAGGGAAGCTTTTCTTTAACGAACAAATAATGTTTTATTATACCATCTATAAGGTACGATCGCATGTTTTATCTCTCATTTTTTCCTCATCATAGCTTTTCGCCTTGGCCAGAAAACTTTATTTTTTATATATTGGTTTAACAATATAAAAAATTCGCAAACTAGAGAAAAATTTGTGAAATTAAGCAGAAAAACACGATAAGGGAGATTCCAGAGTTCAACGGAATGTGTTCGTGCATTTCGTGCACGCCAGAAGCCGTTATTAAATATGCAGAATAATATCTCTAATGCGTTCACTGTTAGAAATAGTGGAAACGATCATCGTAAGTCATTAAATAGCTTCCAATCAATATATTTCTTTCTTAATCCTTTCTATTCATACTAGACAAGCATAATCTCAATAGATCACTTTTGTAACATTATTTTTTATTTTCTATTCAAACGATTCGCAATAGGATATGTTGATTCGCGATAGGATCAATGCCGAACAATGTTGTGAAAATCTGCAGAAATAAAATATTAGGAAAGTTTCAAAGAGTTCGACGGAACGCGTTCGTGCATTTCGTGCACGCAGAGAGGTTTTTAGTTACCATACATAGTTTAGTTACTATAAACAACCCATCTCATTTCTTCAAATTGAGAACTTGCTTACTGTGTAATATGTTATGTATTATATGTTATATTTTTGATTATTATTACATTATTATAATAATAATATTATAACAAATAAATCCTACAATATCCTACACCTGATATTCTGCATTCGTCTCATTCTCTCGAAACTTAGTTTTTTGAGGGTTTCACTTCTAACACGTGTGATTTGCACACATGTTGTTTAACTTTTTGAGAATGGAGAGAGTTACACTACGAATTCACATACCTAATTTTTTAACTTTGTGGCAAGTTTTTCTTTTTTTTCCATATACGTCGAGGTGAGCATTATTTTTTTTAACTATAAGCATATAGAAATACTACAGAAAGAGTTAGAGAGAAGAAGTGAGAGAGAGATAGAGGGAGAGGAAGAATAAAAAAACAATACACTCGACATACATGCTATTATAAATGTGTACTTATATTTCCAGTTATTTCTCGAGTCGACGACAAAACGTAAACAGCCGATAACATAGGTATAATAGCCGAGCGTTCGACACTCCTAAAGTCTCCTCTACCAAGGTTACGTAGTAACGTACCTTGTATTCGCCTTCTATCCTTCAACGAGACAACATAAACGAAAATGAGGCGTATTAAATTATTTAATTATTTTATTTCTAACGTTATCGTTTTGATTTTAATAGTTTAAAAAGTTTTTCATTGCAT